GATTTGCACTGGCAGGCTGTTTCAAAACACCAAAACAAAAGATTTTGTTCGAAATAATGTCATCTTTGATTTCACTTGAAGTATATTGGGGCTTTTATTGGCCCAAGTCAAAAGAGCCCACCCCAGAACCTCTGGCAGTGTACATCTGTGGGATCTTCCCATAAGTACACTTTTAAAGGGGTCATGAACTGCCTTTGTTTTTATCAAAATTTTTACATCAAAAAAACTTTTAGATTTAGAATTTAGAAGTAATTTAGAAGTAGTAGACTGTTTTGACCCGTATGGGTCACCATACTTGGCCACATGTCACTTCACTTCATTTCACTTCAGTTGCTTGGTTGGTGCATGCAGCTCTGAAAATACAAAACCTAAATGCTGCCATATTTTTGGTCCTTTTTTCATAATCCAGTCAAGTGCCATCCTACATTATTATTTTTTTTTGACTTGTCAGTTTAAAAAATATATGTCACATTATGGGATTAAAATTAGTTTTGAATGCCACTTCAATTTGACTTGAATAAATCCTTGTGTCTTAAAGTGTCTTAATGGTGTCTGATTGCTGTTGGTTTCTCTCCTAAGGCGGGATTTCGTGCTCCGACATGGTGAACAGTGGTGTGAGTTTTCCCGGAAGTTTGGATTCGGTGCCTCATACACCTTTATCATCCCCATCACTGTGTTCTCCTCTGATGTGTGTACTTTAGTAGGAGTTTTTATATAGTCCTGATATTGTGTCTTCTGGTTTATATGTGCATGTGTGGTTTTGTGTGTAACAGAAGTTGAGGACATGAAGCCCACATGGCTCTGCAGATTCCTCAGTGCTTCCTCATTACTTCAGGAGAGGTCATGTTCTCAGTCACCGGCCTGCAGTTCTCATACTCACAGGTACAACAACAGGATTGGTTAATACAGCGTTCTCACTGTACTAAAATACATGGTCTAGATGCCACATAATATGAATTAGATCTAAGTGATACGGATTATCGAAAAAGAAATAAATGTAGGGTGAGACTAGGTTTTTGATTGGCAAGTTTTTTTTGTTTTAATTTAAACAATAATTGAATACAGAATATAGATTGCAGACAACAAAAAAAGCCAAGGGGTAAAATCAATGGGTTCAAACATAGCTAAACATAACACATAATGCCTAAATAACTAGATACATGATTTAAAACACGATTCAGATCAAACAGTCCATGTTTTAATAGGTTTTTTTCTTTTAAAATGGCTGGAGGCAGATTTGAACATACATTTCCAATCAATTGCAAGAAAAGGGTGAGTTTTGAGCTTACGAGATGATTGGATGACTGGCATATACAGTACATCACCAGAGAGAAGTTTTAAACTTTTTTTTGTTATTTGGGCCAAATTTTCATTATTAGATTTACAAAACAAAAAAAAGTAAAGCTGTATATCATCCTGAAGAGCCAAAAGTCAAAAGCCACAACTTGTTTAAAATCACAGATGGAACACATTTTTTAAATTGAATATTGTTGACAATGTCACTAAACCTAGTCCTAGCAAATATTGTGTGGTATAAATAGTGTATTCTTCACTGGAATATTTAATTTGACATTTGATATCCTGCAGACTGCAAAGATAATTCTCCGAACAATACGCTCCGAACACTTCCCTCTCAACAGCTGTATTTCCATGTCTTTAGGCTCCAAAGAACATGAAGTCAGTGCTGCAGGCCGGCTGGTTGTGCACCAATGCTGTGGGAAACATCATTGTGCTGATTGTGGCAGAGCTAGGAAAGCTTCCCAAACAGGTGCTGCATATGAGCTCATGTCCTAACACACACACACACTACACATATTCAGCCAGGCTGTAGGAATATTCTCATACAGGCTGGGAACAAAATAAATGACAGAATGGTCATTTTTGTGAAACATTCCTTTCATGACTCTGTGCTGTGGGCAGAGTATGTACTGTTTGCGTCACTGCTAGTGGCTGTGAGCATCATCTTCTCCATCATGGCTTATTTCTATACCTACATAGACCCAGCGGAGATTGAGGCCCAGATCAGGAAAGAGCAAGGGCTCGAGCCAGAAGAGACTGAGTGGGAGACACTACAAATGGAGGGAAAAGATAAAGACCAGAAAAATGAGCAGGAGGTCAAACAAACCAAGATATGAGATTTGTGAAGATTGGATGGATTATGCTAATATCTACGCTTTAGTGCCATATTTATTATTAAAAGACTGTAAACAGACATATTGATGATATTTTCATCCATCGTTGTTAAATTTATTGTGACCGTTGGCTAAGACCCCACTGAGTGAATCAGATGTAGCAAGAAAAATGTAAAAACCTTCTGACATGATATCTTTAGATATGGTTAAGGATGCAGATGGACTCTGGTTAGTGTTTTTGTGTGTGATCCGTTGCATCTTATGTGATTTTTTTTTAAGCTAATAAACAATACACTGCTATGAAACAATGGTTTTTAGCCTTTTGAGTTTAAGTAACCTTAGCATGCATAATGCATTGCAACAAGCTCAGTGAAAAAAAAAAAATCCAAGATGGATAACAAGTTACGACCAAAATGGGTGTCCAATTTGCCAAACATAAACCCAATGCTGAATTAGCTCTGTGGGCTGACAGAGAAATGGACATCTTGACTAAATAGCTCATTTGAACTAAATTTTCCAGAGGACCGTCCAGTCAGTACATACTAAGTACTGATACATTAGGACATCAGTAATTAGAAATATATGAATATTTCTTCTTTTAATACAGACCTACCACGAGATGAGCTATTGTTAAGTAGTGATATACAGCAGGGGTCTCCAGTCATGCTTCTGGAGAACTACCATCCTGCAGAGTTCAGCTCCAACCCCAATCAAACACACCTGAACCAGCTAATCGAGGTGTTTAGGGCTGCTTTATAATGACAGACAGGCAGGCCCGTAACCAGCTATGAGGCCACCGAGGTCCGGACCTCGGTAAATTTTTCATTTGAAATTTCATTTGAATGCCTGCACGACGTAAATAATTCAGTTTAGACAGTTTGCCAGAATGTTTAGCATCCCTGTTATGAAAATGTTCGCTGCAAGACGCTGGCGGAGTGAGCAAGGCTTGAGAGAGTTGTGAGTGAAGGCGTGGGCGCAGCCTCCAGATCCGGCTATTATAAGCGTTTTTGGACTTACCTTTTCCACTTAATTTAACACTTTAGAAAGTTGATAAAGTAGGAAGTTGTAGTTTAGAGTCAGCGATATCTTTATCTTATCTTATTTGCAAAAGATTGGAAATTCGGTTTATTTTTATTTATTTTTAGTTTTTAGTTTGTTGTAGTATCAATATCTGGCAACACTGCGATCGCCGGCACTTAAACTGGAAGCAATCAAAAAAGTTCATTTATACAGTTTATGGTTTTTGCCGACAGGATATGGCATTCGGTAAGGGAAACGCAAAAGTTATCATGATATTATCTGTCATAAACATTATCAACGCTGTCAAAAACAGTAGCATTGAACACTAGTACACACAGATCTGTAGAACAAGTAGGTTACAGAATTAAATGAAATACGCAAAAACTAGCCATGAAGAAGTCTATGCCATGTCATTCAGTATAGTTAAATTTTCACAAATCATGCTATAAACTTTCATAAGAGCACTAAACAAAGTTATTGTAGTTATGTATTGTTGCAATAAACAACTGATAAAACTATCCACCTTTAAATATAGTAAAGTATTAACAAATTTTGGTGCAATAAATAGGGTATGATTTACAGTAAAAATAATCATCACTCCAAAACAGAGAAAACCTCTTTCACAAACAGCTTAGGGTCAGGACTGAATGCACGATCAATGAATAGACTACCAATAATTCTGAAGAGAAATCCACCAGCAAATCTGTCAGGTTTTTGTCATGAATTCGGCAAATGGAAATATATTGTTTGTTGAAACAGTTCAGCAGCAATCTCCTACGCATGTGAATGATGTAATTGAGTTGGTTTCCCTGCTATTTAAATCCACTTATATTTTTGTATATATCTGATTATGTTAGTAATAAACTGTTTATACTTATTCTTTCAAGGACAATGACAAGTCAACAGTTTTATGTAAATTTGTATTCAAATATTGAATATTTGCAATATTCAAAAATGCTTTCAAAGTTTATAAATGAGTTTGTGATTCATCTAAGAACTGGTTGGTTTGGTTTATGACTTAGAACATTCATTGAGCAAAATATTAAAATCTGTAAGGAGAAAATAAATGGGGGAAATACTTGTGAAAGTGGTCTAGCAGCCATACAGCTCTCTGGTAACTGAGTGCAGGGAGGCAGGGCTGAACCTGGTCAGTACCTGGATGGTTCTCTCAGTCTGTGTCCTATTGGGCAATGCCAGGGCATTTATCCACAAATAAATGGGAGTGTTAATGTAACCGTGGCATTGTGGCCCAAATTTACCTATTGACTTTTATCAACCATATCCTGCTTGACCGGTATACCCAACATTTCACAAGCTTCACAGAGGACAGATGATCACTTTATCACTGTGGTTACTGTCAGGCAAAAATGTCAACAATTCTGTGTTTTTCTGTCAATATTGGGTGCTGTGTGTACATTGAGGGAAAAAAATAACTTAAATGATTTTAGCAAATGGCTGCAATTTAACAAAGAGTGAAAAATGTAAGGGGGTCTGAATACTTTCCGTACCCACTGTATATATAAATTTTGTGTTTCATTAAAGAACGAAGGTATTACATGCTTGGAACAACATGAGGGTAAGTAAATAATGGCAGAATTTTCATTTTTTCCCCCCCCTTTAATAAATGTGATTACAGTTATACTCATGACAGAAATCACTTTTCATCACATGGGTTTTGTTCAGTTTTGTGGAATTATTTGTATTTAGCCTGTATTCCTAATCATTAGAAGCGGCATTCTGCTCTTTGACCCCATTACTTGTGGTAGAGAGCGGCCGTGTCACCGCCCCGTTACACCCACATGATAAAGAGCCCTGACTAACACATGAGTGTGAACAGCATATTCAGGAAGCAGCAGCCATAGTCATGGACACTGAAGGATCAAAGGTACTGTGTGTTTGAGTGTGAATGAGAGTTTTCTGCTTATTGTTATTTGTTTACAGCATGGTTCTGATGCCAGACAAATGGGGAATTTTTTAATGTGTGAAGTTGATATTTGTAAAAAAAAAATAAAAAATAATGCCATTGAAAAATTGCTTTACCAGCAGAAACATTCTATAAGTAAATTACTTCCATTGTATTTGCCACAGTAAAAGATGGTAATTTTAGTATAATTTCAGTTCCACCCAAGAGTGTTTCTTTCTTTTTTCATAAGGTCACATATTGTCTGATGACCAAAGTGCCACTGTTAGTGGAAAGGCCGTGACTGTGGTTATTGTAAATGACGTGTGAGAGATTAGATTAGCTGTGTATCTCTTCTGATTCAGCATAAACGTCTTTAAAGGGGTCATATTATGCTGCTAAAAAGAACATTATTTTGTGTATTTGGTGTAATGAAATGTGTTTATGCGGTTTAAGGTTCAAAAAAACACATTATTTTCCACATACTGTACATTATTGTTTCTCCTCTATGCCCCCCGCCTTTCTGAAACGCGTCGATTTTTACAAAGCTCATCGGTCTGAAAAGCGAGGTGTGCTCTGATTGGCCAACTATCCAGTGCGTTGTGATTGCACATCTGAATATTTGGGTTAAACTGTTCTGGAACAGTGTTGTAAATACAACTTAACCACTGATTTGTAGTCGAGTCTTCTTTTGGAAGACCAAACAAAGTAGTTTAGCTTTCACAACGAAACAGCGTCACACATGCGGCCTTGAGTGAGCAGAGGTGGGCGGGCTTGAGAATGGCGTGGCCGGCGGATTCGATGAAGGAGCGTCCGGCAGGCTTGCGGCAACCACATGTGACGACCCCGGGCTGGACTCCGCTTCATCCACGGTAAAAGCCGATCTGGTGATCCACAGCGCAAAGTTGATGTATTTCCTCAGCGACCAGCACGGATCAGCTCTAGGCATGACGAAGCGGATATCGTCCTCTTTTGGAAGACCAAACAAAGTCGTTTCGCTTTCACAATGAAACACACAGCGCCTTCACGACATGGCGGCGGCAACAACACTACAGCGAGAATAAAAGTTGCGGCTTCTTTCTTTGTGTGAACATTTGGGCAGCGTTATGCAAATCTTCCCACATCGTGATGTAGATATGTGGGGGCGTGTTAGAACGAGCCGTTTTAGGTAGGCGTGGTTGACTCTTAACTTTTATAAAGAATATCTCTTTGGATTTGAGACTTTAGTCTTTGCAACGTTACAGATCTTCTTTATGCACCAAGAGCTTGTAACACTTCAAAGAGAAATGAAAAATTGAAATCGCATCATATGACCCCTTTAACATTTAAAGAGTCATAATGTCCTTGTCATTGCTTTTGTGCTAAAGTACATTGTTGTTATTGTCAAAACATTTACTTAGCAACCGCTGCCTCAATTAGCAAGAATATGCAAGCCGTTTTAAGACTATATAAGGCTAGATGCTGCCAAATTTCTGAAATGTTGGATCATTTGTGCCTCAATAATGTTTGAAACTAAAATTAAGGTATTCCAGTATAAAATAATGCCTTTGGGAATGCAGGATGCACCTGCCACATTCTACGAACAATAATTGCATGTCTCATTTGGATGGCATTGTGATTTATTTGGATTGTTAAGATGAACATCTGGTAACTGTAGCAGTGTTTGAATTCCTCTCTCATATTAAAACCTTTGCATAATTGGTCTAGCGCATTTCATAATACAGTATCTAATAGACACCTGGAAGCCAGGTGTTCTTCAGGAAGCCATTAAAACACAGAAAATGTCAGACATAGATTTTTCTTCAGGTTTATTGCCAGAAATGGGCATAGGGTGTTATGTAGATGAGAAGTGAAGCACGCTCAGTTGACTGGCATTGTTGCCATATCTACACCAACTGTATGTGATCCATAGTGTTTGTTTTAGAATATTTGAGTTCCTAAGCTCTAGTTTTTTTGTATGGACTCACAATTTATAATGTACTATTTTCCTTGAAAAGTTTTCTAGCATTTAAAATTCCAGATTTTTAAACGTTTTCAATCTACAACTAACTAGAGTACTTCTCATTAGTTTTTCTTACTTTTATAGAATTTAAAAGTTGACCCGGAGAAGCTGCTCACCAAGCTAGAGAGGATTGGGAAGGGATCGTTTGGAGAGGTCTTTAAAGGCATTGACCATCACACGCAACAGAAGGTCGCTATAAAGATTATTGACCTGGAGGAGGCTGAAGATGAAGTGGAAGACATCCAACAGGAGATCACAGTCCTCAGCCAGTGCGACAGCCCCTTCATCACTAAATACTATGGCTCTTATCTGAAGGTGAGGCCCATGTACTTCTTCCCTGAAGCAGTTTAATGTGTGTCAGGCAGCTTATGATGACTTAAACTGAATTTAAGCTGTAAGCTGTATGCTATTTGGGGATAGCAGAGATCCAAACTTTTGTATGCTGATATGTTTTCTTTGGGAGAAGTAAAGTATATACATGTAGCTTGAACATTGAGATGTACTTATACTTGGCCTAATTGCTCCTGAGGTGGTTTGAGTCTGGAGTGTGTCTTGGAGGACTTTTGCATGAGTCTTTTCATTAGACAGATATTCAATCAGTAAATACACAGTAAGTTGAATTCTGCTTCACTCAAGAGTAAGTGTAAATACCTTAGTGTGAATAGGCCTTTTGGGAATTAGAATTGCTCTATATAGGCAAATGTCACCATAAAATTACTGGAGAGCTCCCACAGAGGACTGGCTAGGATTGTGAGAGTTTCCCATATATTTGTGGTCCCACTGCTCCTGAATGCCTTTTTGTGATCTGATACCCTGCTCCTGAAGGGCTAGCATCTTGTAGAGCTCAACTCCAATCCTAGTCAAACACCTGAAGCAGCTAATCAAGGTGTTCAAGATCACTTGAAAATAACAGGCAGGTGTGTTGGAGCAGGGAAGTTTGCAGGAAGGCAGTCCTCCAGGAGCAGGGTTGGCAACCCCTGCTTTACAGCTAATGGGAACATCTGGATGGTGGATGAGTGACATTCCCAGAAAATTGGTCATTTAGCTCTATAAGTTTGGTACATGTTTTTAGAGATTTTAAAATGACTGCTACTTGTTAGACAACAAGACAATAGTGACATGTAATAACTGTAATTATATAACTCAACGTCTCTTGCAGGACACAAAACTGTGGATCATCATGGAATATTTAGGAGGGGGTTCTGCTCTGGATTTGGTGAGAATTTTAATTTTCGTAACTTTATTGACTAGTACAGTCTATATTTATGACAACCTGGTATTATAATGGAAAAGTCAATGACAAGTTAAAAGTGTATAATTTAAAACAATATTCACAAAAAAAAAATGCATAAGTTGCTGTTAAGCAATATTATATATGTTAATTATGATACATTTTGGTTGTAGACTTTAAAGTTGCAAATCTCTAGGGCATGGATGTTTAAACCGTTTCCTGTAGATCTACCTTCCTGCTAAGTTTAGCTATAACCCTAATCAAATACTCATGAATTATATTTAGGAGGGGGTTCTGCTCTGGATTTGGTGAGAATTTTAATTTTCGTAACTTTATTGACTAGTACAGTCTATATTTATGACAACCTGGTATTATAATGGAAAAGTCAATGACAAGTTAAAAGTGTATAATTTAAAACAATATTCACAAAAAAAAAAATGCATAAGTTGCTGTTAAGCAATATTATATATGTTAATTATGATACATTTTGGTTGTAGACTTTAAAGTTGCAAATCTCTAGGGCATGGATGTTTAAACCGTTCCCTGTAGATCTACCTTCCTGCTAAGTTTAGCTATAACCCTAATCAAATACTCATGAATCAGCTATTTAAGATCTCCAGAAACACTTGATAACTTCAAACAGGTGTGAGGAGTCTGAACTTATAGCGAAAGTTCACCCAAAAATGAAAATTACCCCATAATTTACTCACCCTCAAGCCATCCTAGGTGTATATGACTTTCTTCTTTCAGAAGAATACTTAAAAAATGTCCTGGTTCTTCCCAGCTTTATAATGGCAGTGAGAAGTGGTCCAGATTTTGAAGAAAAATAAAAAGCATCCATCCATCATAGTACTCCATATGGCTCCGGGGGTTAATAAAAGCCTCCTGAAGTGAAGCAATGTTTGCTTTTTTGTATAAGAAAAATATTCATATTTACAAATTTTATAAACCGTAATCTCTAGCTTGGAGTGGCGTCCAGCGGATGATGTAGGCAAATGCGGTGATAAACACAGAAGTTATGAAGGAGAGAGCAAAACAAAACACCGGTTACGAATTAGAAGTACAAAACGAGGGTTTGTAAAGGAAAATGCCTGAGGATTTCGATATAAGCCAAGAGGAGACTGGTTTTCCTTTGCTGTAAACAAAACTTGTTTCTCGCATGACTAGCATATTCTCACTGGAGCTAATGCTACGCCTCCATTCTATGTCATTCATTGGTACGCAACTCTCTCGTGAATGCGCGTACAACAGTTAGCGGAAGCTAGAGATTGCCATTTATAGAGTTTTAAATGTGGATATTAAATATTTTTCTTACACAAACGCATCGATTCGCTTCAGAAGGCCTTTATTAACCCCCCCAAAGCCATGTGGAGTACTGTTTATGATGGATGGATGCGCTTTATTTTGCTTCAAAATGTGGACCAATACCCACTGCCATTATAAAGCTTGGAAGAGCAAAGACATTTTTTAACATAACTCTGATTGTATTCATGAAATAGAAAGTCATATACACCTAGGATGGCTTGAGGGTGAGTAAATCATGGGGTAATCTTCATTTTTGGGTGAACTAATCCTTTTAAGTCTGCAGGAGCGAGAACGAGCACCCCTAGAGCTCTAGGAGGACTACAAATCATTTAGGCCACTTCTTCTCAAACCTGTCCTGGAGCCCCATGACATGAGTTGATGTGAGGAATTAGTTTGGTTATAGTCATGTAGTATATAATTATACTTGTGTTTTTCCAGAGGTTTAGAGCCCCACACGTTTGTTAAGTTCCTCTAACTGGTTTGTTCTTTGATCTACAGCTGGGACCTGGACCTCTTGATGAGTCCCATATCGCCACCATCATCAGAGAGATCCTGAAAGGTCTGGATTACCTGCACTCTAAAAAGAAAATTCACAGAGATATTAAAGGTACCTGTGACGTATTACCTACAGTTTTCTGCCATTGAAATCCATAAACGATCTCCAGCATTTCAAGATGGCACTTCTGTTCTGAAAGCTCAAATCATGATGTGATTTGTGTTTGTGTGTTTCTCTAGCTGCTAACGTCCTGTTGTCAGAGCAGGGTGATGTGAAGCTAGCTGATTTTGGTGTGGCCGGGCAGCTCACAGACACACAGATCAAGAGGAACACGTTTGTGGGCACTCCATTCTGGATGGCACCAGAGGTCATTAAACAGTCAGAGTATGACTCAAAGGTCAGATCCATTCACTGTGTAATGTACGTAACAAAGTTTTAAACATAGCCTGGCATGGGTTAGTAGCTAGCCAACCCTGCTCTTCTACCTTCATGCAGACTTCAGTTCCAGTCCTGCTCCAACACATCTGACTGTTATTTTCTAGTAATCCTGAACACCTTGATTAGTTGGGGCTGAAGCTAAACTCTGCAAGAGGGTAGCTCTCCAGGAGCAGTGTTGGCTATGTCTTATTTAGCCACTTTTTTCCATACTTTGTATGCCTTTGATAGGCCTATTGATCTTTAGAAAACACCAAGCTCCATTTAAAGTTACTATCCAGAGTCTGTTGTATATCATCAGTTCTCAACAAGAGCAACAACATTTGTGTTGCACATCGCACATTTTAGCACACGTATAATAGGTCACTCAAGTGTGTGTGTGTTTTGCAGGCAGATATCTGGTCATTGGGCATAACAGCAATCGAGCTAGCAAAAGGAGAGCCGCCCCACTCTGATCTTCACCCCATGAAGGTGTTATTTCTCATCCCTAAGGAAAACTCACCCACACTGGAGGGAAACCACAACAAAGCTCTCAAAGAATTCGTAGATGCCTGTCTCAATAAAGACCCCAACTTTGTAAGTGCTGCCTGCATGTTTATAGGGATTTACAGGTTACAGGTGTGTTGAATTAGGGCTGGAGCTAAATTTTGCTGGAAGGTGGTGCAGAACTGGACACCTCTGATAAAGCAGGGTTTCTCAAATCCAGCCCTGTAGGTCAAACCCTAAACCAGGGGTCTCCAAACTCGGTCTTGGAGGGTCGTTGTCCTGCAGAGTTTAGCTCCAACTTGCTTCAACACACCTGCCTGGACGTTTCTAGCATGCCTAGTAAGACCTTGATTAGCTGGTTCAGGTGTGTTTAATTAGGGTTAGAGCTAAACTCTGCAGGACACCGGCCCTCCAAGACCAAGTTTGGAGACCCCTGTCCTAAACAAACCCACCTACCTGTAATGTTGTAATAACTCAAAAGATCTTGATTATCTTTGCTCAGGTGTCTTTGATTAGGGTTGTAGCTAAACTCTTCAGAGCAGTGGCCTGCCAAGCTGGATTTGAGTAACTCTGCGGAATAGTATTTGGATTTCTGCATGTATAGCAGAGGTGGATGGCTTTGACCCTCGAATGGCTCTTGGGGGCCAGAGCTGCCCACCCCTGATGTATATAGTCATATATGATCAAAAGACAATGTCTGTATTATCTCTGCCAGAGGCCAACAGCTAAAGAGCTTTTGAAACACAAATTTATCATTCGATATGCCAAGAAGCCATCATTCCTGATGGATCTTATCGACAAGTACAAGAGATGGAAAGAAAAACAGGCCCGCGATGAGTCCAGCTCTGATTCCGAATTGTAAGAATCGTAAACAAAACATTGGCACATTTAGTTATATTAATAATATAATTAATTATTCACTGAGAAAATATTGTGTGTACATGTCTTCAGAGATGACGGTGAAGCATCTGGAGAGTCTGTGACTGATGACTGGATCTTTGGCACTGTCATAGGACATAAGCCCACAGTGAAACGGAATGAAGTCGTAAAAAAAGAAGAATTACACAAAGAGGTGACATATGCCATTGTCAAAAAATATCAAAGCAGATCATTTGTTTGTAAGACAGCCTTAAGTACAGTTATCAAGAAAAAGATGCTCATTGGGTTTGGAAAGATAAACAAAAAATAAGTGTTTTTTTAGATGTTAGTGGCTCATCCTTCCATCTATTCTCTTGCTGCTTATCCAGGACCAGATCACAGTGGCAGCAGGCTAAGTAGGGCCCCCAATATATCCTTTTCCTTCCACAGCTCCTCCTGGGGGATCCCATGGCATTTCCAATCCTTCCAGCATGGAGGTCTCCCCAGGCTCTATTCTCAATTGGACATGCCTGGAACACCTTCATTGGGAGGTGTCTGAGAGACATCCTACCACATCAACTGGTTTATGGAGAGAAGCAGCTCTACAATTAATGTCTCCGGGATGCGATACCTGCGATCTCATTCTTTTGGTCATTACCCAAATGTCATGAGCATAGTTAAGGTTCAGAACATCGATTGACTGGTAAATCAAGAGCTTCACCTTTGCGCTTAGCTCCCGCACTGGTCTTGTACAACAACTGCATTACTGTCGCCCCTGAACTGATCCGCCTGTAAATCTCATGATCTGACCTGCCCTCGGGAGCAAGTCACTCCCTACCCCATGTGGAAAATACACCTTTTTCCAACTGGGAACCACAGCCTCAGACTATTGGAGGTGCTGACCCTCATCCTCCCTGCTTCCCACTTGGTTGCAAACTGGACACCCTTCACTCCCGGCTGTGCTTTGAGATCCTGTCCATGAATATCACACTGAGGTTCAGGGGCAAGGAACTGTCCTGGTGGAGTCCAAGCAGCCACTGGGAACAAGCTCCGTGGATCAAGGGATAGTTCACCCAAAAATGAAAATTCTGTCATTAATTACTCACCCTCATGTTGTTCCAAACCCGTAAGACCTTTGTTCATCTTCAGAACAGAAATTAAGATATTTTTGATTAAATCTGAGAGCTTTCTGACCCTGCATAGACAGCAATGCAACTGAAACGTTCAAGGCCAAGAAAGGTAGTAAGGAGGACATCGTTAAAATAGTCCATGTGACATCAGTGGTTCAACCGTAATGTTTTGAAGCTACGAGAATACTTTTTGTGTGCAAAGAAAACAAAAATAACTTTATTCAACAACAACTCTTCCGTGCCAGTCTTCGACGTGCATTCACAAGAGTAACTTGAGTACTCTCGTGAATGTCTATGGAGGGTCAAAATCAGAAAGCTCTCGGATTTTATAAATAATATCTTAATTTGTGTTCCGAAAATGAGCGAAGGTCTTATGGGTTTGGAACGACATGAGGGTGAGTAATTAATGACAGAATTTTCATTTCTGGTTGAACTATCCTTTTTAAATTTGTCTACAACTGTGGTTCCTCTGATAGGACACCTTGTGACTTTGAGTGGAACTGACTTCATACATGCACTAAAACTCACCAAAACACCACCTGATTAAAAATCGAGCAAAAAAGAAGAAAAAAAAGTGCTAAGAAAAGTTTATACTGCATTTGAGCAGATATTCTGTGATATTCAGACATGTACTGTATACATCAGATTTGCTCGTCTGCCTCTCTCATTGTTTAGGTTCCAGACAGTGCAAAGAATCCTCCGCCCAAGAGCAAAGAGTCCAAGTCCTCTATTATTTTACCATTGTTTGCAGAGGTAAGAATTTAATCCAGATGAACCTTCCAACTTATGTATGATGTATTTACTGATGTTTATCTTGAGTTTAACTTCGCAGTTCACAAATGATCAGGCAAATGAATGTCAGTGCATACTGAACTAACAATGCTGTATGTATTCAAAGTCTCAGTAACAGGATGGATGTGTTTGTTCTTCTGTCAGCTGAAGCAGAAGCAAGGTGTTTATAAGCCGGCGGTGTTAGAGGAGCTGAAGCAGGCCATGCTCCTGGCTGAAGAGACATGTCCCGGGATCACTGACTCAATGGTGACGGGGGTGGTTCAGCGATTAAAGAGGTATTTACAGCACCCTGCCTGCACTGCCCAATACGTGCGAGTTGGTGAGTGTCTGATGTGTGTTTACTGCCTCACAGGTTTTCGTCTCAACACTGACTGACTCTTAGTGCCTCTGCATGAAGACTCTTTCTTCTGTGGGTGTCTGTATTATGTATTTTCTGCTGTTTTATTATGGCGGGATTGTGAATAAGCCATTTACAATCCCAGTTACTAGCTGTCTGTACATAAGTGTAGAATGTGGACTGGATTTGTTTAAGGACCCCATGGAATAATTTGATAATTTAAGTTTTCCTCAATTCCTGTAAGAGAAAGACTGTACATTTAAAAAAAAAGTTTTTTTTTGGTCAGCTTAGCCTATAAATGCCTCAAAGCTCAGAGATATGAACTAAAATCTACACATTTTGATCTCAAGGGGTCTGAGTATATCACGTTTTTTTAGAGCTGTAATTTGTGCAATAATTCAATCACTATTAATTGTCCTTATAGGAGTTGCTCTTAAGAGTTTGAAAAAAGACTGTAATATTAAAATCACTTTGCACTTTTTTTGCCCTTTAACACATTGGTAATTCTTTAGATGGTGTTTTATTTTGTTCTGTACCTGTACAAGTTTTATTTCTACTGTTTCTATTCTATGCTGTGGCTAGTCTTGGCATAGAGGGCTTTTTTTCAAATATCAGTTTTCTTGCTTATTGTATCATTATTTTAGCACCATGCTAACATGCTCATGTAGATTCGTTAGATTTAGGAAGAGAGCGATGTTTTAAATTTTTATGCTTATGCAGCCTATGGGTTTATAGGACTATAAATCTGTGCTAAAGTTCAATTCAAACTAATGTACAACTCAGTGTTCACTGCCATCATCACCCTTTTCAGGAAGCACCTGCTGCTCAAAGCCGGTTTGTCCGTAAGGCAAATGAATGTGTAACAGTCGAACCAATCCAAACAACTGTAACAATCCAACAAATTCACACAATTTTAATTCTTACATCCAAAAACAAGATCAAAATTTGTAACTCTATATACAGATATTACATACAATTTTATACACATATTACACAATTTTTACATGAGAAAAATATACATAAAAATGTAAACTTTTGTATACAAAAAAAAATACCTTAGACAAATTAAAGACCAATAACAAAAGGTGACTAGATTTATCCTATGAGTTTTAAAAACAGTTCTACAGTACATTCAGTGAGTATAGGAATCAGTCAGCCATCTTAACGCAGAGTGCAAGCGACTTTTGTCTGGGGATTTCTCTGTGCAGCGGACCTGCTGTCATTCACACAGTAGTAACACATTAAAAACTTGGACTGCACACAACATTTCAGCTCGTTAGAGGAACAAAAATGCTTTTGCCACAACTGATGAACATTGGTGGGGAGAATAAACAAAGACTTGTTCACCAGTAGCACGCTTTTGCACAAGTGACTGAAAAGTAATTTCGAACCTGTGGAACACAGTGCAGGTGAAAGTGCAGCTGATCATAGGAGGTTTAAGGGTGATGACCTAGAAAACGAACAATGTTTTGTCACTACAAATGAACCTTGAGGATGTGATTGACTTACTCAAGGATGCCTCTAAATGAAGTAACGGTTCCAGTATGCCTGTGATCATTCTGCCACAAAAATGATCTCTTTCATGAAACAGAGCAGAACGAATGTAAATCATTATCAAACCATTATTACACAAGCTGTTGCATTCAATATAATGTACAAGAATGATTCTACGAATGATTCAATCGGAGTGGTTTTAAACCAGTTCAATGCAACATTATAAAACGGATAGTTCCGATCCTTGATTCTGATTGGTTGAGCCGCGCTTGAAGCTGTTGTAAATTACACTACAAACACACACCTTTGTTTACTTCTGTGTGTTGCTCGACGACCACTTTGTTGGAACCACAACTGTTTCTGAGGAACTACATTGTTTGGTGGAAGAATTCTGATTTTATTTATATCATTACACTTTATTTGCTCCGTTTTACTCTGTGAAACCTTACTAGGACGTATATGGAATAACCATTTTATAAAAGCAATAAGCCCCGTGAAGCCGTGGTTTACAGTGAATTTATTACAGCTAAGGGGGTTTTAACGCAAATTTTTTTTTTCGTTTTACAAACGATTCCATTCAGTGTGAAAATTATGTAACAGCAGTTTTCTGAACTGTTCTATTCAATGCGACAGTTTATGCAAGAATTAACAATCTTTTTTAAAAGCATTCTTGCGTAAACGGTCACTGGTCTTTAGAAATGATTAAATGTAATTGCATAAGAATGGTTTTTCAAATGATACACAAGTTCCTTTCTCCTGGTTTTTCATGAACGAGACCCATCATTTTTTTCTTTTCTGACTAGTGAGATTGGATTAGACCAAGGGTGCTTTCACACTAGCACTTTTGGTGCGCACCCGGGTTCGATTGACGTCAGCGTTTGGTACGTTTGGATGATGTGAACGCGGTCTTCCGAACTCGGGTGCGCACCCGCGAACCGTACCCGAGTCCGCTTAGGGTGTATTCACACCAGGAAAGTCCGCTAGTTCACTTGCTTTGGTCCGGACCAAATACAATGTTGATTTTTTTTTTGTTTGGTACGGTTCGCTTTCACACTGCCCTTTTTGCAAGTGAACCAGAGACTGTAAACAAAACCACATGTGTGCTTAAGGTCATCCATTCAACCGTACCAGAGTTTGTTTGGAAGCGGACCGAGACCACCTCTTCAGCTGGGTCTTGGTACGGTTGTTTGGTGCGCACCTGAGTGCGATTGCTGTATTCACACCTGCCCAAAAGATCCGCACCAAAGGGTGAAACGAACTTGAGTTCGATTCAATCGAACCAAACAAGACAGGTGTGAATACACACTTAAAAAGGGTGGTCTGGGGTACGGTTCGCTGCTGATGTGAACGCAATCGTTCCAAATCACGGAAGTGAACCGCTATTAATGACGTATTATTTGATAAAAATTTGTGTTTCACTCACTTTCTTGACGAGCGTGACTGACTGACTGCTGCAAGCAGAGAGCTGTATATCTCATTTCTGTTCACCTTCAGAGTACTTAAGAGCACTTGCAGTACATTCGTAAAGCAGACATAAGTGCCGTTATGTACTGAAGCTTTGGAAACAAAACCAATGGTTCAAAAACAAATATAAAATTGAAGAGAGCCTTGCTACGCATTTTGCCGTCTTCTCCTGCACCATTGTTACTAAGCAACGGGGTAAACAGCTGCTGGTTTGATGACGCAAACGAACCGCGGTTCGGACCCAAATAATACAATGTGAACACAGTCCAGCAGGGGAAGGGGGGAGCAATCGAACTCTGGTTCGGACCAAGCAATTGAACCAAGTGTGAAAGCACCCTAAGTGCATAAGGGCCACGGCTGTGGTTTTACAGCTTTCAGCAACCACTGTTATTTTTTAATAGCTATCAAAAATACTGTTGCACATGATCACAGTCTCTTCGCCCAAAGAAATGACACAGATACACAACATCAATCAATACAAAATGATTAATCACGAGAATTTTGATAGCCATTAAAACTATCAAACATTATGCCACTAAATGCATCGGTTCCACCAAGTATGTTGCAAATGACTAGTTTTCTTTCAAATTTCATATTTACCTTTCGCCACTCAATTCAACCAATAAAACCCAAGCTAGAGGATTCTATTCTATAAATATATTTAATACTTAATATAGAAGATAATCGTTCAGTGTCTAAAATCTACCAAAAACCTTGGTTTTACTGTCTTAACTTCAAAAGTGAAAATGAAATCTGCAGGGAACATTGGTCCCACGTGGCAAAAGGCTGACTGACGGTGACTAAAAATGTCTGAGTTTGAACCGGACTCTTCTGTGGAAGTCTGGAGAAGAACCATCAGGTTGCACAAACCATTCTCCATAGAAATTGCACCAAATGTCCACAAAACAAACGCAGGGTTTTTCAGTTGACATCAACTCTCCCACCACCCATTTTCTTCCATCTGCCAGCTCTACCGTACTCGGAAACCTTGCCACCAAGGGCTCTTGTATTAGAAAGACCAAACGAGGCCCTAAACTGATTAAGCACCATGAAGAAGAACAAACATTTGAACCCATGTATTTGGCAAAATATCACCTCAAAGTGTCATTGTTCTGTTTACTCTTCGCTGAAAGAGTTCCATGTCAGTGTTTCTACAAGTTAAGATCTTTGCTGTGAATCAAACAGGTAAGCCATAAATGAAAAACCGTTAAAGGAGAATGAGATCCAGCTGTTTGTCACTGAGGCTGCTGGGAGTGAGCCGCACCTGAAGACTGGTATGAGAGACTCTGCTGAGGAGATTATTGCTTTAATTAACCTTGTGATGTGAGCAGTCCAGGCCTGGTCCACTGAGCATGTGCAAAGACCCATCAATGAATCATACTGTTTAGTCATACAGATTTGTGTCCTGATTACAAGTCGTATGGTGGATTCTCTCGAGACCACATCAAGTTTAGACCAATCCTGTTATATAGAGACAGACTGCTGAATGACAGGAGTGTTGTTGGCTGTGCTGGAGTTCATTCTGGGCTAGTGTCTGAAATCAGGCTGAAAGTTGTACAAATTCAGTGCCACTATGACAGTGTTGACATTTATGGTTTGTTTTTACACTTGGTATGCATCTTGGGTGATCCAATCACACTTTCCAAAATGCCACATCGCATTACACTAATGCATCCTGGACCACCTTCTCATTGGCTGCAAGCCATGTACAACTATAAAGTTGACCTCATTGCAACCAGATTTTCTTCTCTATTGTGACATATATCAGAATGACGGCATCTCGAAGAGCGGGACTTTATTTTGTCAATCAGGAACTTATTGGATCGTTGTCATTTGCTAATTGCTGCATTCTCACGTGAGTGACAGCTTGCTCGAAAATAAAGCACAAGATCTTGCATAAATTGTGTAAATCATAAATTTCTCATATCAAATTCAAATAGGAGGGCATGAGTGTGCCAATTCGTTTTTCTTTTCTTTTTGCACTTCATCAACATGCAGTGCCCCACTGATGACACTACTGAAATCACATTAACTCCCCTCAACAAAAACACACCATAAGGTCAAAGCAAATGCACGTTAACACCATGTGTAAATGATAATTCCTCAGCTGACTACTTGTGATCAGATTACCCGAGACTGATGCTAATACCAAGTATAAACAAGAGTCTTGACCTGCTCTTTCTCCAGTCAACACACACCAGCACATTCCTCACAAGTACTCTACAGGACACAAGCCAACCAACAACCTGCTACTCTCATTTGAGGAATATTATACTAATGGAAGTAATATGACAAGAATATGATCCACTAGCCTTAGTACAAAAGACCATCACTGCTTTTCCACTGATACGGTGCTGGTGCCTGGCACCATTTTGCACATTTCCACTGAAAAAAGGTGCCTTACCTTCTAAACCTGCAGATCTCAAAGACCTAGTAACATTAGTCACTGGATGGTAAAAGAGTCCTGTATAACGTAAAAATATATGTTGCACACAACCGCAGTTGACATTTTCATTGTTAATCGTGCTGCATAGCTTCTCCAGCAACATTATTGTCCCTGTCTGTCTGAAACAATGATTTATTTACAAATATCATATTAGGGCTGGGACAATAAATCGATGCATCGCGATTCGTGGATCGATTCGGAGATTTTCGGAATGCATCGTGATTCTCTCTCGAATCGTGATTCTCTCTCGAATTTTTAACAGCAGATGGCGCTCTAGGCTAGTTTTTAACTGCGCACTCAAATGCTCACGAAGAAGAGCACTTGTGCGTTCGGCTGAGTAATGTAAGTGGTTCAATTGCACATCGGCTTTTATGATGTGAGATTAATGGAGCCTACTTTGAACATCCTTGTAATTCGCGTCAACCTTTTCGAACTTTATGAATGATTATTTTAGGTTCAAGTGGTGCGCGTGTAAGGAACTGGAAGCAAATAGGATATGGCTATTTCTAAAGCACGCAGTGCCATCTGCTGTTAAAAACTAAGCTCAGAATCAATTCAAGAGAAAATCACGAAGCCTTCGGAAAATCTCAGAATCGATGCAGAATAATTTCTCGATTCGCTATGCATCGATTTATTATCCCAGCCCTATATCATATGTGTGAATCATGATTGTTGTTATAATTGAATGAAAATAAGTTCTCAAAAACTGGAATAAACTATGCGCATGATTAGGTAATGTAGTAATGTTGTCAGTTAGATCATCGTTTGGCTCTCAAGAAATATGGGTCGGCTCTGAGACAGCTCCATAGATCACTGGCTCCTGCACTAGCACCATTTAGTGGAAAAGGGGCATATGAAGGTAGAACTTAACTCTTGGATCACAACAATAACAAACAGAGGATGGACACTGTTGACAGAACAAAGCAGAGATACATGTGCAGAACGACTCAAATCTGCTGCTGATCTATGGTTGGTGATGGAAATTCAAGAGTTAGTTCACCCAAAAGAGAAACCCTTAAAGCCATACTTTCTTCTGAAGAACACAAAAGGAGACGTTTTCAAGAATGTTCAGACTGCTCTTCTTCATGCAATTAAAATGAATGGATATGAAAGCACCATAAAAAAAAGTCTTTATGATTTGTACACTATATTCCAAGTTTTCTGAAGATATACAATAGCTTTGTGTTAGGAACTGACTAAAATGTAAGTAATTAAAGGCCTGTTTACACAGATTTGATTTTCTGTTAAGACCAATGGGGAAAAAGGCAGATACGTTGAATGAAAATGCAAATTCACTCCATGACAGTAGGTGGCGCTTTCTGAAGAACAGAAGTAAAGAAGAGCACTGTGCTAATTTCCACTTCTGACACCCACTTATCACAAAGAAGAAAGGAAGTCGAACAGAATTTTCATGTTTTCAAACAGTCGTTTAGACTTTTGTATTAAAAAACAAATTCCAGAGACAAGAAACCCAGTTCCGGATTCTTGCTCTGCTATTTACTGTCACTCTGATCACAAAATAGTCTGTTAGTGAGCGCCATCACATCATAGCTTTACACAATGACTTTTTGTGATCAAACGTGCTAACTACTGGTCGGCCAGTTTCCTTTGTAGTGTGCCAAATTAGCATTGACAGTGTGCGAATATTTGTGTTGCTGATGCATTAACAGCCATTCATTCAAATTAAAATGTTTACTGAACATTTGTCTTGGTGTGAACAGGCCTTTACTCACTCAAAATCTTGCAGTGTTTAAACAGGCAAATATGCCACGCAAAGACATTGCTAAACAATCCAGGTCGTCACACGTCATAAACGATTGTTATACAGCAGTTTAAATGTGCAGAAATTTAGAGTGCTTTTTTGGAGCTTGACAGCCCTTGTTCGCTACTTTCTTGTTCCAAGGACAAACGAAAGTCATGAGGGTGAGTAAATGACAGTTTTCATTTTTGAGTGAACTATCCCTTTAAAATGTGAGATGGGGGGGGTCTCTCTAACCAGACTCAGTTGCTCTGAGGGAACGGGGGAGTGGCAGCAGTGGCACTAGTGATGGTAAAGCCTGTAGGTGGCGCTGTCGAGCTATGGCTGGGCTGCAGGTCTTTGGGGATCCCACTGTGGGAAGCCAGTTGGTGGCCGAAGGCTGCACTAAACTGTGGGAGCTGTAGTTTAGGTTGGGTGGGGGTGAGAAGGTCCCGTGAAGAGGGCGAGGATGAGGGTGAGGTGAGGCCGGTCAGGCCCGGTTGGGGTAGAGCGGAGAGAGCAGCGGTGGGCTGCAAGATTGTGGAGTGGGACGTGGAGGGCGGGGTGGACAGAGCAGTGGAGAGCAGGTGAGTTTCAGCAGAGAGGAGGTTACCGAACTGTGCCGGGTCTGTGAGTGAAAGCGGGAGGTTATTCCAGGAGGTGCGCGGTGGCCCGGGCGCTCCACTCAAAGGCACCTCCAGCAAGAGAGGTGCGTCGGTTTGATAAGAGGCACCATGTGGGGGTGAGATGTGATCCCTGTAGGGCGATGGCACATGCTCGCTGCTGTAATGACTACCTGGCGGGGACGAGTCTGGTTTGGGAACTCGGGAAAACGTTCGTTCTGTTAACCCACCATTGGGATTTGTAGACGGTGCGGTGGTGCTGCTCTGTGTTGGCTGGGGAGAAGGGGACGTTGTGAAATGATGGTCTGTCGGGGCGTGGAGGAGGTTTCCCTCCAGCTCTAGATTGGGAAAAGTCTCAGAAGACATTCGGCCGTTTAGAAGGTCTCCGATGCCAGTTGCTGTGACCCCTGATCCCGAGAACACAGCCATGGTTCGGTGGTCTACCCCGTCTGCTGGGGTCAGTTCGCCCATTGAGGACAAACACACCAGGGAATCGGGATATGACCCCATGGCCTGCAGGGCTCTGACCAGCTCCTCTGCCTCCTCTGTGGTGGGCAACAACTCTCCATTCTTACCTGGATCCACAAAGACAACTCAGACAAAAAAGTGCAAACCAACCAATGGCAAGTAGATTTTTTGAAGAAAACTTGAGTGTTGATTGGCAAATGCTAGTCTTTGTGATTTCTTGCTGGCCCAAATCAAAGAGGCTACTCTAGAGTCTTTATCATATTTCGTTGTCATATAATCAGATGTGAACGTACCCTCAAAAAGGTCGAAATCCTGAAGATCATCAGGGAGTCTGGGCAGCACATCAGAGAAGTCTTCCTGATTCAGCTCAAGATCATTGGGAATGTCAGGCATTTCATTTGTGATGTCGTCAGGAAGCTCGTCTGCGCTGAGTTCAGGGGTCGACGGACTCCTGCTAGAGCGACAGGCAGAGAGTGAGTGCCAGCGTGACTTAAAGGTGACATATCATGGAAATCTGACTTTTCCAGGTTTTTAAGTGCTATAATCAGGTCCCCAGTGCATCTACCAACCAAGGAAATGTGAAAAAGATTAACCCAGTAACTTTGTTTTGGTAAGCCTTTTTCTGCAAGCATCTGAGAAAACGAGCGTGTCTGATTTCACTTGGTGATGTGGCAAAGGGATCTCATTATAATATTACCGCCCCTTAATCTGTAAGTTTCCACCCACGGTGCCATTATTGTGTTTCGCAAGCGACAATGGTGTACCAGCTCTAATTCCATGGTGAAAGTTTGAGCAAAACATGATAACTGTTCTGTCTTTGGCTGCACAGATGAGCACAGAACACTATTTAGAGTCCCAGCCTCAGAGGAGACAAGAGAGCAGTGGATTTATTGATTTATTTACTGTATATTGCTGCTGCCACATAGATCTAAAATAAACATGCAATTTATTTCCCAGCTGTTTAACTTCACAGACATAACCGACTGTTTTTTGTAACTCATGTGTGTTTTTAACGTGAACTTGTGTGTGAATGAGAACTTAGTTTAGTACTCACATACTGTGAGAGCCGCTTTCTGTCCATGTGCTACGAATGAGTGCTCTCAGAAAACCTTATATCAGAAGCTTAAACTAATACAGTTTAAAATGCATGATTTCAGCGCGATAAACATGATAATCAGAACCAAAACAGATGTTTTTTAGCAGGTACGAGCTGTAATGGCACAGCTCTATTCTGGAAAAGAGGGCGAGGAGCAGCAGCTCATTTGCATTTAAAGAGACAGGCCCGAAAAACAGCGTGTTTCTGCTTTCACTCAAAATAGGCATTTTCAAAATTATATAATAAATCATCTGTGGGGTATTTTGAGCTGAAACTTCACAGACACATTCTGGGGACACCAGAGACTTATATTACATATTGTAAAAAGGGGCATAATATGTCTCCTTTAAGTTGAATAAAGTCGGAAACATACTCTAAGAAGTACATAAATATGAATGGTTGACCAACACAATACAAGCACAGATCCTCTTGTGTTGTTGCTGTGGAGGTAACCTTCCCTTCATGCCTTTCATTGAACCCGGAAGAGTTGCATTTCAGGTAGCTAGCTACCAACATACCGACAGATTGTCTTACATTAACTAACTTCCTCAGTGAGATACTGTTACTCTTTTGCCGCTTTTCCACTGCGTGGTACGACTCGGCTCGGTACGGCTCAGTACGGCACGGCATGGTTCAGCTCGGCACGGTTTGTGTTTCCACTGCAGTTCAGTACCGCTTTAGAGTGGGCGGGATTATTCACATGTCGTTATAGTTGCGCTGCCTCTACTACCACGACTCCTAAAAAAAACTTTTTCATTCCGCATCGCCCCATCAAGCTCTCGCTGGATCCGCTCCTCTGCTATCAACGAGAGGAACGTCTGTTCTTCCGCAACAGACAACAAAACTTTTTGGTTGTTAAAAAAAGGTGCGCTCGTTCAAAACAGTTGCGTTCAATCCTTCGCTGGCTGTGCTGATTTAAATCTAGCGGTTCTGTTGTATTTGTGTCGCAAGTTCAGTGACGCAGGTAGTGACGATTCTCTCCAGCCAATCCGTGATCAGCAGAGTTTACACGTCAAGTTTTGGTAACGGTACGGTTCACTTGGAACCCCAACCGAAGTGGTACTAAAAAAAGTACCAGGTACTGTACCCAGTGGAAAACCCCCCAAAAGTGAACCGTACCGAGCCGTACCTTGCCGTACCATGCAGTGGAAAAGCGCCATTTGATGACAGTAGTTGTCCTACTCTACTGGCTGTTACAGTATCCTTGTGGCAACACTGGCAATACAACATGTGATTGTCAGTTTTGCTAGTATTCGAAACTGGACTTGGTGTCAAGACCACATTATCATGGTCTTGGTCTTGTCATAGTCTCAGCATAATACTGTGGATACATTTTGTGGTCCATGCCAACTAACGCATATGATTTACTCTGTGCTGTCGTGACAGAATTTTTTATATTTACTGTGTAACTCAGGGGTGCCCTGTCCTGTTCCTAGAGATATATCTACCTGCAGAGTTCAGTTCCAACCCTGCTCCAGCACACCTGTTATATTATCTGTAATTATCAACTGCTCCTGAAAAAAAAAAAGTGTACCTTAATTAGCTGGACTTAGAATCAGGGATGAACTTCGTAAGAAGGTATATCTCCAGGAACAGGACTGGGTACCCCTTATTTACATGGTATGGATCATTCAGAACCTCTTCTAGTCTCAATCTTGACTTGAACTCAACCTACTTGACTCTTGAGATAGACACCATGCTGGTTTCACCTGGCCAGAGGAGAACTGGCCCCCCGACTGAGCCTGGTTTCTCCCAAGTTTCACCGATGGAGTTTATGTTCCTTATCATCACCTTTGGCTTGCTTAGTTGGGGACACTTAATTTCTGGCTATTTGACACTATTTGAAGTGAACTGAACTGAACTGAGCTGGATGATGCCATCACTGAATCAACGATGAACTGACTTTAACTGTAAAATGTACTGTTTACTATTGTCCTCTTGCATTATCGACACTATTTTCCTCTTTAATACTATAAAGCTGCTTTGACACAATCTGTATTGTATAAAGCACTATATAACTAAAGGTGACTTGACTTGGACTCAAATGAGCTGGTCTTGACTACAACATTGGTATTTCTGATGTGTAAAAGGACACATTTTGAAATGCAACAACGAAACATTTGTGAAGCAAGACTGTGATGCATTTGAAAGCAGGATATGCACCTGACATGGGCGTGGTGAGTGGGCAGTGAGAGCGAGGGCATTAGCAAGTTGCCCTGTGGCACAGCGGGAGGAATGGGCTTCTGCGGTCTGCGTGGACCTAGTCTTCTTTTCTTTTTGTGTTTCTTCGTCAGTGCAGGCGGCTTGGTCTTCTTACGTGGGCGCCGCAGCTGCTGTTGCTGACTGCGTCTGTTGCCATCCCCACGCAGGAAATTATCCTGCCACACACACACATTTACGTACAACTTACAACCAAATCTGTATGGTGTAAACACATTCCTTTTAAGGTTATCAAGATAAGTTGTGTGGTTTCTCACCATTTTCTTGGCATGTTCGTCACAAAGAGGTGTTTGGTGAGTGATGTCAAACACAGGAACGGAGCACTGCTGTCCATCAGCGAACCGCGCTGTGCAACTGGAGAACAGCTGCTGAGAGCGATTCAACAGGATATCTGCGTCAATGTGCTGTCAAGAACATAACACACTGGCATCTGACAACTGCACGTAGGTGTTGCTTGTGACTTGGCCCTTGTTCACAGTGACAGTTCATCGTTTCATCACTAGGCCACCACTAATGTCTGGTCATTTTACTTAAAGGATACGTTGAAAACAGTGACGTGAAAATGGCAAAGCTATGTTGCTGCAGCTTTGACCCTTCGTGGTTCCCGTACACATTGTCCTTTCATACTTGTGTGAACTGAAAAAATTTAATAATTTATACAGACATATTAAAATGGCACACAGCCCTGAAATGCACACAATCCTTGCAAACATGTCATGTTCAACACACCAGGTTGAGGTCTGTGAGCTCTTGCTGAGTTTCTGAATGAGCTGTGCAGTGCAGTCTGGGTCTTTTCTTGCAGCATGGAGCAGAGCTTTCCGGAAGGCGTATTGGTATCTGCTGTGACGGGTGGCTGCCCTGTCCTGTCGGCACAGGTGTTTATACCTCTCCTGTAGGTATGTACATAGCTGTGCCAGACGTGCCCGCCGGGAAAGCGGCTTTTCATTGGAGGAGCTGACATATACAAACAAAACAAATCAGTCTGGATAATAACATGTTTGCTTTTCTCTAAAACATTTTGATCTATACTCGTGGAGTACTTTAATTGTAAATGGCATTATATTTACCATCTCAGAAGTTGTGAGGAGCAAATGAGCAAGTGAATTTCTTACCTTTGAAGGGAGCTTCTTTCCTGAAGTCTCCAGGCCTGAGGCAATAAAGGAACAAGCTCCTCGGTATCTTCATCATCTGTACAGTCCTCAGACCAGTCTAGCCCTATGGAAACACACATGCATACATGATCAGACATCAAGGACATATATATATCAAGGACATTGCATATTGTTGCATATATTATAAAATATTAATACAATTTAAAACAACTGTTTTGTAATTTAGTATATTTTAAAATGTATTAAAAAATGAAAAAAATGTTTCTGTGATGCAAAGCTGAGTTTTTAAGCATCATTACTCCAGACTTCAGTGTCACATGATCCTTCAGAAATCATTCTAATATGCTGATTTGCTGCTCAAGAAACATTTAATAGTTTAGTGGATTTCTCATGACTCTTTTAGGATACTATGGGAACTGGAAAGTTGAAAAGAACAGTATTAACTGAAAAAGCATTGCTTTTGTAACTTTATATATATCTTTACTGTCACTTTTCATCAATTTTATATCATCCTTGCTGAATAAAAGAAATAATTTCCTTACTGACCACAACGTTTATGTGTGTTTGTGAATGTATGCATATATCAAAAAGTGATTTTATATACATAGAAAGCACGTTAAATGCAAGTGTCAACTTTTAAGGTCCCAAATAAGTTTTGGGAGTATAAAATGTCAAAATGTGGGTAAAATAATGTTCCACTGTCATTCAGTGTAACACTTATATTTATATACAAATTTAAACAACATACTTATTCTGACCTGTACGTATTAAAATATATATATATTTTTAAAGTGAGCATACTAAATTTTATTGCATTTTAAATGAATACATTTAATTAAACAGGACACTTTCTAAAATGATGAAAAACAACAACAGTGTGTGTGTGTGTATATATATATATATATATATATATATATATATATATATATATATATATATATACTCTGCTATGCTGTTAATTTAATGCGTTAATCTAATTAATTACAATTTTATTTTTTACACAATTAACACATCCGCCCGAAACTTTCCAGAATTTTTGGAAACTTTTCCAAAAGTTTTTTTGCCCCTTTGCAACCCTAGTTTTTAAGATTGTGCATTTTGCATTGCGTAGAACAGTACTGCTTAATTGTAACAAGTTGGTCGTACCAAGATGTGGGAACAGGTCTCCGTGTTCTCTCTGTCTCTGAGCGTAAAGCTGCACAAGGTGCTGTAGTCTGAGCAGGCAGACAGGGGGTGCTGTAAAGGCAGTGGGGCGCATGGCCACGGCGCGGGGCTGTGGGCAGTCCTGGGCAGCAGGTGGGCGAGGGGACGCAGCAGGGACAGGTCTCCGGCTAACAGGCTGGTTCTGAACCCCAGCTGACGGGAGCAGACCAGATAAAACAGAAGGCCCTGTCTGAGGTGGAGCTGGCTTGCATAGCAGAGTCTGCACTGCCCCATGTTGGGCGTAAGCGGGCCGATCTGTATGTTGAGGGGGCTGGACAAGCCTCGCCGAGGATTGAGGCGGAGGTGGAGCAGGTGGTGGAGGTGGTTGTGGTAGGTGTGGGGAGGTTGGAAGTGTGCAGGGCTCAGTGACGGCGCTAAAGTGCTCGATGTCCGGCTGACGGTGCTCTGGGTCCCGAGCGGTCACCCTCAGGTCAATCACTGGCCTGCTGGGCAGCTTCCTCTTGCTGGAGCTCTTCTGCACAACGCTTTCCTCTCCGTCCGTGTCCTCCTCATAGAAGGCAAAGGGGTCGAGGATGTCGGAGTCCGAGAGAGGCATCCGAGTCAGACGGGAGCAGGGCGGAGACGGAGGGAGGCCATCCAGCCCATTAGTGTCTCTCAAAGCCAGAGAGGGAACGGTGATGTTCAGAGCGACAGACTCCACGTGAGCACGGGCACGAACCTCCTCCAGAGCATCCTGCTTCTTCTTACGCTCCTTCTTCGGGATGAAGCCAAGCACCTGTAGGTGGCTGTTACAGTATCTGCCAAAGCATCGGTGCATGTTACAGTATCTGCTCAAATCACACAAAGCACATTTTAATCAGGAATTGAGATATACTGTCAAATGCCTCCATGCAACTACTGGCGGAGCTCAAATTTTAGTGCTTTATTTAATTGATTCTCATGTTATATTGTTGTAACGCATAAGCTAAAATACGGTTATTTGGCCAGGAACATATCAACACATATAGGGATGAGAAATAGAATAAGAAATTCAAATTTTGTTTAATAATTGTGGTTTTTTAATTAATTACTCAATCATTTTGAATAAAAAATTTACAAAGTTCTTATTGCCGGAGTCCGAGAGAGGCATCCGAGTCAGACGGGAGCAGGGCGGAGACGGAGGGAGGCCATCCAGCCCATTAGTGTCTCTCAAAGCCAGAGAGGGAACGGTGATGTTCAGAGCGACAGACTCCACGTGAGCACGGGCACGAACCTCCTCCAGAGCATCCTGCTTCTTCTTACGCTCCTTCTTCGGGATGAAGCCAAGCACCTGTAGGTGGCTGTTACAGTATCTGCCAAAGCATCAGTACATGTTACAGTATCTGCTCAAATCACACAAAGCACATTTTAATCAGGAATTGAGATATACTGTCAAATGCCTCCATGCAATTACTGGCGGAGCTCAAATTTTAGTGCTTTATTTAATTGATTCTCATGTTATATTGTTGTAACGCATAGGCTAAAATACGGTTATTTGGCCAGGAACATATCAACACATATAGGGATGAGAAATAGAATAAGAAATTCTAATTTTGTTTAATAATTGTGGTTTTTTAATTAATTACTCAATCATTTTGAATAAAAAATTGACAAAGTTCTTATTGCATTTTCTGCCATCAGCAGCCAGTGGTCAAACAAGATATTTTCAGATTTCTACACAACAGAAACTACAAATCAGCAATAAATTATAATATACAATTCTTGCAAAATAAAATAATTTAAAAATCGGTTTGGGCTAAGTAGCTAGTTATTACTGTAAGTACTTCAGTAACTACTTTAAGTAGTATATTAGTCTTGACTTTCCAACTTTGATACAATACCTTGAAAAATACTGATATTCAATACTATTGTCAATAACACAGGAATAAAAAATGTCAAATATTATTACATTTGAACAGTATCTAAATTATTATTATATTTTCTTTTGATCTTTTTTTTCTGAAAGAGGGCGAGGGAGATTATACCATTATACTTGTACTGTAAAATAAATGTTTTATAATACGTATATTAATTATTTTACACAACAGTAGTCAATTAGTTTCTTCACTTTTACTTTTGCAGAAAACTGGGAAGCCTTTAAGATTCTGTGACAACAAGCTGACAAACACTTCTCATTACAAATCTAGCCAAATATTGTACTCCTCCATCCACAGAAATGGAGATTATGCAAATGCAAACTATGCGAATCATGCAATTATGTGAGAATTAAGCATAACCGATGCACTCTGCATTACCAAATGCACATTAAACTTACAGAGATGGAGTTCGAAATTGTCACATTTCCTAAGAAACATGCAGTGCTGTACATTGGTTTTACCACAGATACGCTTAACTGCTTTTTAGCTTTACAATGAACCATTAAGGGAAACAAGTGTGATGTAAAAAAAAGCACCTAAGCCTCTAATCTGCTGGATTCCCTCTCATCTTACCTTCGCTCTTCTGCTTTGGGGATTGGGTTGGTGCATCGCTGACTGTTGTACTTGGCCACATACTCGCACTGCTTAAACGGAGCGGTTTTGTCCTCCAGAACATGACGAATGCAGAAGGCGTATCCGTTCAATCTGCGCTGCTTGCAGAGTTTGGGGCTGTAGGAGCACAGCGGCTTACTATCCAGCTCTGAGAAATGGATGTGTTTACCTTCGTACATCACGTGACTCTGGTCCCTGAGAACATCAGCTGCTCCGAGACAGAAAAGAGTGTGCATTACACCACAGAAATAACACACACTAAACTCACAGTATACATTTAATTTATAAATGCTAAATGTGTATTACGCAAAGCCTATAAATGTTATGTAATATCTACTGTATTAGATGGTATAGGCTTTAATCATGACCATGCAATAAAACACTGACAATATAATAGTTACCTCTTGTGTCTCGGTTTAATGTTTGAAATAAATGCAACCCAGAGTCGCAGCTAGTTGATGTGGTTATAGGTTAACTACAAAGATCTCAACACAAAGATAGAGACCAGTGCAACCAAAACAAACACGCATGTGACATAGCCATAAAAGTGATAAATATGATATCCTCAGCTTGGTTTTGACATAACTGTATGGTTCAGGTCACTGTTAGAAATTATGTGGTTTTGAGATCATTTTGAGTCATGAAAAAATGGCCCAAGTAAAATTCAGTGAATATAATATTATATTACATACACTAAATTAATAGCAAATTTCTGTATGAGGTTATATACATGATAAGTCAAGGTTCCTGACAAAGACAACCACGGAAATGCTATGGTACAAGTCCAAAAATACTTCTCGGTTTTATTGTGACACTGAATTAATGAATTTACACGCCTCCGCAGATATTATAACGATATCCATATAATCTTTTCTTTAACCTCATGCTTCACAAATGATCAGTTTCGTTAAATAAACATCGCTGTCATCAAATCGATATGCTAAATAACTTCTAAAACATTACATAGACATATTTTGACACGTTTGCCCCCATTAAAGCACATTTATATTAGTATCAGTTTAATATTTAGTTTCAGCCCCTGCCTGTCAATATCAGACATTATTTTGATACCACACTGGTTAGCTACAATGCTAAAAACAAACCCAGGAAACAGAAACGCTGACGCGATACTGCGCTAGTGTCGTATTTAAAGTGCTAAACAGAGAAAAATAAGCTCATGCATGCGCGAATTATGTTATTAGGTTTTATTAAATGCGTGAAGTTTGTGCATGTTGGCACAATGGCGGATGCGGCCCGTTAAATCAGGCCGAAAGAGCGGGTCGCTGCAGCCGATTAAGCATTAATAGTAGTTTAATTTTTAGAAGCCTTTGCAAATTAATCTCTTTAAAATTAATACAATTATCGCAGCCTCCGTTGAATTAGAATTAGTGACCACGGCATGATACGGTTTGCTGAATATCCATTCTAAGTCAATGTAAACATTGGCCTACAGTAGCTGCCGAGCCTCGGTGTTCGAGTAGCGCGGTGAGGGGGTTAGAGCGCTCATGAGTCGGGCAGAGCTGCAGTCGAGTCCGCTTACCTGCAGTGGGTTCAGCCTCTACGGGGTCTCACTCCGGACAGACTGTATAAACGCCACAGATCATCAACTGCACCGAATATTCATCGGAATTCCTTATGCTACGGAACACTATTCCCTGTTGAGACGGTGAAGCGTCAAAGCGATCACTAATGTACTTTCGATATTATGTTATCGTCTGCTCTCATTGAACAGATCTGCGGGGGTTTAGAGTTCAGTGCTCGGCGGACTCACAGCACCACTACCGGCGCTGCGGGGACATGACAACTGCTCCTCTACCATATAATCGATCAACTAATCTGCAGAACACCTTACTGTACAACAATCATACTAACTACAACACACCATATAGAAGTCTTAAACGCATTCATTGTGGTTTAACATTGTATATTACGTCTTAAAGGGATAGTTCACCCAAAAGCTATTAATACATGTGATGTTTATCTGCTAACCCCCAGGGCATCCAAGATGTAGGTGACTTTGTTTCTTCAGTAGAACACAAACGGAGATTTTTAACTCAAACCGTTGCAGTTTGTCAGTCTTATAATGGAAGTGAATGGGAATCACGGC